TGCACCTTGGCCATATTGAAACAATGGTGGTCCGAAAGAATTTACGTCGCACATATAATAAGCACCGCAAAATTTGAACACACAAAGACAATGACTCTCGCAAGTCAATATTCCAAAGTGATATTTCAAAAACATTTGCTCTAACGATTGCCACAGATATTTACCACTTTTTGCATATAACCTACCACAAATGGCTGGTAAAACATTGGCCTCGAACATGGTCTCGCCTATTTTAAAATGGCTCATTAGATATCTGTTCCAAGAGCTAACGTGACTATACTCTGGTTTGGTCGACTTAAATTCAGCTTCCAATTTGCTATGCGTATAATATCTATCGCCGCACATTACAATTACATCGAGTGTCTTGGAGGTCCAATATTCCGGCGCCATAATTCTCGTCATACCAGCGCATACGACGTAACAGGCATAAGCTTGCAATCCGCGATTCTCTTTGTCGAACATACCGTCGGTAATGTGTAATTCACCCCATAGAGAAAAAAGTTTGTTCGCTTCTTCGACCAAATACTGATGCCAATGCATTCTCGGTGCAGCGGCATCTTTGACAGTTTTTTTCTTCGCCGACGGTAGACCACACCTCGTCCATGTTATTTTAAATAATTTCAACCACGTTGGTTTCTCTATTTCATCCTTAACGTCACCTTCCTCTTGCTCGATCGTACATGGATCTCTCCAATCCAATGGATCAAATGGACAATCGTCGATCGTTTTTCTTTTCATCCGATGAGTCGCTGTTTTAGGCTTACGTTCCAATAATTTTAGATTGTTAATTTGGCAACAATGATAGATCATATTGAATATCTGAATTGTGAATACATCACTTTTGTCTTCCTCTGTTCCCTCTTCTCTTTCCTCATCACTTTTCTCTCTTCCTTCTTCTCTTTCCTCATCATCTTCTTCTCTTTCTTCTTCTTCTTCTTGCGTTTCTTGTATTTTTTCATCGACTATTTCTATTGCTTTCTCTTGTCCTTCTTCTTCTTGTTGCGTTTCTTGTATTTTTTCATCGACTATTTCTATTGCTCTCTCTTGTCCTTCTTCTTCTTGTTGCATTTCTTGTATTTTTTCATCGACTATTTCTATTGCTTTCTCTTGTCCTTCTTCCTCAACTGTTTCCATAACTGTTTCTATTATTTCTTCTTGTATTTTTTCTTCTTCTTTTTCTTCTTCTTCCTCTTCTTCCTCTTCCTCCTCTTCCTCAATTTCCTCTTGTTCTTTCTCCTGACTCGATTGAGTCGGATCTATGTAAGCAGCAACTGGTATCTTTGATTCCGGAACATCATAAACATACGCTCGAAGCAATAAAATCATCAAATGTCTTTTCAACGATTTTCTAGTACAAAACTTCATGATACAGGCGTAACCATCGTCGTTCCAATAACCAAACTCGTCGCATCGATAAGGATTGTACAAATACCAAAAACTACCATCCTGCCAAAATGCCAATGAGAATTTTGTTGTACGAAATATACAATTACGATATTCTACTGACAATTTGTCGAACCATTCCTCAATATGTTTCGTTTCCTTGTGAACAGGCTGTTTATATCCATCGATTAATTTTTCCGAACCGAGTTCCAATTTAACGTTCATTAATTCCTTTCTATTCAACGTTTGTTTCCTTCGTAAATTTTGTTCTTCGTATTCCTTATCAACCGTAGTTATCCTTTTTATATCCTTCATTTCTTGAATCAATTCGACTTCAACGCTATACTTGTAATTATATACTACGATATCGTCCAATCTTTGTTTGTCCTTGATATTGATGGAACCGATATGAGTGAAGAGCATCCAGGCGTGGTCGTAAATATAATCGATGTTCACGCTCCATGCGTACTTATATCTTAAACGTAAAGTCAAATATCAAACGTTTAAATACATTACATAGTAGCCAATCAATTTCGCTCATTGAATTCTAATGGGCGATCAAATGAACCTAATTAAACGTATGCTTTGTCAACGGCTCGTATAATATTAAACATGAAATAATATTCGTTATTCGGTATATCGAGGCTCATGCTAAACAATTATCTGGGATAAGTGTTAACGTTAAATTTTCGTTATATACGTATGATTGTAAATCGAACAAATGCGGCCCGTACGTGAATCCCGATGTTTAATAATGTACACGCGTATATAATTAAAACGTTTGTTTGAATCAATTATTTTTCTTACTTATTAATTCGACGTAAATGATTTTTTTTTTTTTTTTTTTTTTGTTTAAATGGCACAGATAAATTCGATATCACATTAATCCTAATAATTTGGATTTTACCTCAATTGCGTTTTCGCAAGTAGAGCAACGATCGCTTGGTAAAAACAAAATTTCCATGTTTTTTCACGATTTCTAAGGGAACCCAATTCGATCAGATGCATTCCCTTCAATCCATGAAGACAGACATCGGCATACGCTCTGGGACCTTTTTTCTTCGAGTAAAACTCGAATATAACGTAATCGCCGTCTACAAGACCGGGCCTTTCACCGGCATCTCGATCAACCATAAATGCTTTTGTAATTTTAGGACAAATAGGTGGTATCCTAGCGTGTCCCAATTCTTTTCTACCAGCAAAATCTTCCTTCAATTGACGCGACAATATACGTTCATTGCTCATCGTTGGGCTATCGCAAGGAAATATATCCTTCCTTTTCCTTTCCTCCGATTCTTCACGTTCTTCAATTTCCTTGAAGAAATCACGTTTATCGCAGGGCCACATGTTAGGCCATTTTTCACTTTTCAATTCCGAAAATGATTTTCCTTCGTACAAATCCTTTCTACCGGCCTACAATACCATTATCCATTATCCTCTAATTATCCACTAATTATCTCGTTAAAGCCACGTAATACGATGTTACTCGAATCTACAGACCGATCGAGCCTCACGCATATTCCTCCAAATTCGGATCATCTTTGAGCGATCTAGCTTATCGGGTAACATGGTTTCAGTTTCGAATTGAAAGGCATTCAGAGGGAAGCATTTGTATGGTGTTCCTATCTCTTCGGCTGACTTCATGCGAGGTAATTTCGGAAGTTTTCCTGGCTTCCTATGCTTGAATTTATCCTCTCTCTCTAATTGTTTCTCCTTTTCTATATATCTATATTTTCAAACGAGTTAACATCACAAACACATACGCACATATATATATATATATATATATATATATACATCGTTTTTATCATCGTTACATACAAAATTATTAAGATCGATTACGTTTTCATATATACACGCCATAATGCTTCCTCTTCGCAGGTCCATTTATCTTCCATACATTCTTCCATTTGAAATTTTCGCCCTTTCATTAATCTTTTTTCTTTAACTTTTGTCCCATCTGTGTCAACTGCATTCGTTGTAATGGTAGCTTCCTCGGTGTACGGTATCGTTTCATCTTCCACGTTTGATTCCTCCTCCATCGTTGCTGCCAATTAATTAATCGTTTCTCTTACGTACATCTCTTCTCTTTTTCTTTTTCTTTTTCTTTTTCTTCTTTTTTTTGTTTTTCCTTCTCTTTCTTCGTATCACGAATTTGTCCGACAGCAAATCTAAATAAGAATTATCGAATGTTACATATTACGATCTTCTAATTTGGATTTGTAACCTTTGTTAAATGTGTGACACGCGGAGATGCAAAAATTGAATAAAAAAACAATCGAAGAGAGAGAAAGAGAGAGAGAGAGACATGTATATATTGATTCGTGGATATCATCGGTGGTGACATCTAATCCGATGTAAAATATTTGAAATCTATTAAAATCGATGTGACGGTCGTGAGAAAACAAAAAAAAAGAAAAAGATAAATAATAAAAAAAGAAAAAGAAAAAAGAAATAGAAACAAGAAAAAGGGGAAAAAAGAAAGAAAGAGAAATAGAAAAAAAAAAGAAAAAAGCAAAGAAAGAAAAAGAAAGAAGAAGAAAGAAAGAAAAAAAATTCTAAAGTACGCAAAGCCTCGGTAATTTTATAATTATTTTCCTTCGTCGAAAACGTTTTGGAAACCTTAAAGCGACCTCGGGGCAATCTCGTCAGGTCGGAAGCCACACGGCAATGCAAGATTTTCAAAGTGTTTATATAATTACGACGATGTGGGACAGAAATAAATAACGCGGTGAGAAACCATATCCTCGATCGTGGTATTTGAATCATTATTGGATTTAGGAGCCCCGCACGTGCATCATTACCGAATAAATAAGTCCTATGGTAAACGCAACAGCGAGGACTCTGGGGTATCGACGCGCTTGCATACGACTTTTGCAAACGAGAGAAACGACAACAAATAAATAATCGTTGTGCAACGTGATATAATATGCATTTCCGGTTATTATCTCGAATTGGTAAATTCGCATGTACGTACAAAAAAAAAAAAAAAAAAAAAATAACGAAACAAAAAAAAAAAAAAGAAACAAAGAAAAAAGAAAGAAAAAAAGAAAAAGAAAAAAGAGTAGAAAAAAAGAAGAAAAAAACAAGGTCACCACGAATAATCCGCGATTTAAAACGTGGAATCAACTTTTCGTTCTTTTTATTTGTCGAGAGTAGTAGTCGTCAAATTAATTCAATATTTAATCGGTCAAAGTTCAACGTCGAATATATATATATATATATAGCAGGATGAAATCAAACTGATAAGATCCTCGACTCCGACTGGCTTTATTCGTCGAATAAAAATAATAATGATAAAAAAAAAAGAAAAAAGAGAAGAAGAAAAAAAGAAAAATCAAGTTATGTATATATATATATATATATATATATATATATATATATATATATAAAAAGAAGAAGATGAAGAAGAAGAAGAAGAAGAAGAAGAAGGGTTTCGCGTTGGTTCGTTCGAGCCTTAAGTGCAAAGATTCTTTAATAGCATTCCGAAAAGAAGACGAAAGAAGAAGAAGAAGAAGAAGAAGAAGAAGAAGAAGAAGAAGAAGAAGAAGAAGAAGAAGAAGAGAAAGAGGAAGAGGAAGAAGCTTCTTGTCGATTTTTAAGAGTAAAAACGAGAAGGAAAGAGAGAGTTAGAGAGAGAGAAAAAAAGAGAGAAAGAGGGAGAGAGCTTTCGCGGACTGTTGAGTATCCCGTGGGAATCGTGGCACCAGACAAAGTCAAAGTGAATTCGAAGCTCCGGTATCCGGCGCACTGATCTCCTTCTCCCTGCTCAATCCCCACCTTTCCCCGCGTCCCTCGCCGTTAAACTTAAGCGACGGACGCCGAAGAAAACGGGGAAGTTTCTTTAGAACGGACCCGAAGATCAAGACAATTCTTCTTGAAAGTTTAATGAAATGTTCACAGTTAGAGAGAATCGCCGGAAGGAACGGATTGATTGGTCGTACCGGGTCGTATCCGGCTAAATCTCGATAGTACGTATAAATGAATTATCGTGACCTACGAGTTAAAACTGTCCCGTATTGCCGTTCTATCTGCTATAAGGATTGATCGATCGACCCTAAACGAAATTTTCAAAATCGCATTAAACCTCTTATATTAAACTTATTTCCCTTCCTCCTCCTACCCGCCCCCTTCCCAATCCCAATCCCCAATACTCGTCAGGCCGTCTATATTTCTTTTCTTTTTTCCTTTCTTACGTCTATAGACGCAACGATAAGAAAAGAATTTTTTTATGCATATCAATTGCAAATGAACCAATAAATGGGGAATATTATAAAGTTGATATTTAAATTAGAAAAACGAGGAATGACAGAGAAGTTATACACGTGTGTGTGTGTGTGTGTGTGTATGTGTATGTGTCGAAAAAAGATAGATAGATAGAGAAAGAAAGAAAGAGAGAGAGGGGATGGGATGGGGGGATAGAGAGGGAAAGAGTGAAGAGTAAACAATGCATTATATGCAGTAGCATACAAAAGATCCCCTATGGCTGTGCAGCCATCTTCTTCGAAAGGTTACGCCAAGCTCTATCAATCTAATTAATTTTATTTTAATTACCGCATCGACGAGCACTCGTCGATTGTTATTGTTTCAATGGTGATGAATCGACCGGCGGCGGCGGCGGTATGCCATTCTCCTCGCTGACAATTTCTATCTGTTTCCTGATACATAGAAATATGTGTGTGTGTGTGTGTATGTGTGTATAAATATATATATATATATATATATATATATATATGTATATATGTATGTATGTATAAAGGGATACACATGTACCTATGTACATAAAACAAATGTTGATAGATGTATCATTTTATTTCGTTTATTTTCTTTCACTCAGTGATCAACCCAAAGTTTTATTTATGATTTCCAATACAATCCTTTCTATATGGTATGTATTTTAGAAGACAATGTATATGTTGCTTATCAGTTCGATAAAATAGAAAATATCGAAAAGATAGAAAAGGAAAATAAGAAAAAAATTCAATTGAATTAGACATATTTATCAATAATTTTCAATTGACGATATTCGTCTGATTACGATGAAAACGCCGTCAATTTAACGCATAAACTTATATCTATAGCTTTTATTCTATCGAATTGATAAACGTTTATATATATACACACACACACACACATTCACACATACACATACGCACACATATTATTTCATGATTTAAATCATGTTATAATAAACAAATATTGTAATTATAATAGATTTCGTTGCGTTAATTAATATGTACCATCAAGAGAATGTCGTTTAATAGTATTATATAATCATTCGACTGTATACATACACATATATTGTAACGTTCGACCGTGGTCAATATTATTCTAACGAGAGAGAAGTGTGATAGATATATTCCCAGATATACATACATACATACATACATACATACATACATACATATATATATATATATATATATATATACATACATACGAAAACAATTCTCTAAAACATTCCAAAAATCGTTCTAATCGAAACGATTAGGGTATAAGAGAAATATGTTGCTTTTTGCATATAAACAAACAACCAAGGGAAAAAAAAGAAAGAAGAAGAAACAAAAAAGGATTCTATATATACATACGTATCTTTGGTTAAGCTTTGACTATGTAAAAGGTACCAAAGCGCAAGGAGGTACAAAACGTCCCCAGGAGGGATTTGGAAGCGAGAAACCGCAGCGCCGTCGAAGACGTCGTCAGGGATTTAAAAGTAAGAGAACAATTTCTCTCTCTCTCTCTCTCTCTCTCCTTCTCTCTCTCTCTCTCTCTCTCTCTCTCGGTTTCGTATTTTTTCTCATTTCATTCCCATTTAACAAAGGAAATAGTCTTCGTCCATATAAAGAGACACGGTATTTCTCATCGGTTCCCCTTATAGTGTCCCTCGAACTCGTCGCCTAGTGGCTCGTCCCCGAGGCCGAGCTCCTTTTAATTACCCAACGTTAAATTCTTTATCTGGCTGAAACAATGTGGCGAACTCGTGTTTTCAGACCAAACAAGCCCCATGTTGATACGCGGTAATAGAATAATCTGGCAGCTGATTCTGGGGATATAGCTTGCGGGGATAGAAACCCACACGATTTCTGCACCGAGTCTGCGCCTACATCCCCGAACGAAAATCAACTACCCCCTTTCTCTCTGCTATTCTCTCTCTCTCTCGTTCTCTCTTTCTCCCTCTCTCTCTCTCTCTCTCTCTCTCTCTCTCTTTCTCTCTCTCTCTCTTTCTCTCTCTCTCTCTCTTTCTCTCTTCCTCGTTTATACGAGCTTGATAACAGAGAGAGAGAGAGAGAGAGAGAGAGAGAGAGAAAGAGCATATTCCCTTCTCTCTTCTTCCATCCCACCGCACCCCCTCCTCTCAACCCTCCCCCCATCCCATTTTCGTCGAGGTCCACGTGTTTACACACTCTGTGGCTACCGCACGACAAATGGTTCCAAGTGCAACGTTACTAACGCTGCCGTAGCAATAAATTGTGTCCCGGACCATGTCGAACCTGTTTGGAACTGCATATACATACTTGTGCCCTCGTGAATGCTCGATGCTTATATACGAATATCGGAATCTCTGCGGAATCGGGATGCGAGATTACGCGTTGGTAGATTTTGAGTTAAATTTGATATTTATTTAAAAATAAATAAATACATATATATATATATGCATATATACGTATGTATGTATGTAAAGATCGTAGCTTTAGTAAAAATGAAAAGGACGATCGTAGAAAGGAAAAGATGGATTTTTCTTCTTCGATCTATTTTCCTCACGACACACGTATTATTTTCTAGACCTTTTGCTCGCATTTATATTGATACTATACAATACAAACGTGTATCTATGTACATATATATGTATGTATGTATGTATGTATGTATATATATATGTATGTATGGATGTATGTATATATGCATGTATGTATATACATCTGGTATATACCTACATGTATATTTGTTAGAAATTCGACGAAAAGTCGTGGATGCACGGCAGGAGCAAGGTTCTCTCTTCGTATAGGCCTCGATACAAGAGAGAAAGATAAAAAGAGAAAGA